TCTAGCCTCCGTCATTTAGTGGTGATGAGAGCGAGGATGCCCAGGGTTTTCTTGACAAGTGTCAGCGGATGCTCCGTACAGCAGGGATACTTGAGACTAATGGTGTGGCATTTACTACTTTTTAATTTACTAGGGCTTCCTTCACTTGGTGGGAGGCATATGAGAGGCGTAGGCCGGTTGGTGCAACGCCCCTTACTTGGCAGGAGTTCTCCACTCTCTTCTTGGAGAGGTATGTACCACAGTCCCGCAGGGAGGAGCTGCGCAGGCAGTTTGAGTGGCTAAAGTAGGGAGATATGATTGTGTCTCAGTATGAGGCAAGGTTTCTGAGTTGGCTCGTCATGCTAGTTGGATGATTCCGACCGATTGTGAGCGGATCAGGAGATTTGTTGATGGCCTTAATTACCATCTTCGTATCTTGATGACTAGAGAGAGAGTTTTGGGTGTTTCATTTGAGGAGGTGGTTGATATTGCTCGGGAGATTGAGACGGCTCGCTGGCAGGATAGAGAGGAGAGGGAGGCCAAGAGGCCTCGAGGTTTTGGTAGTTTCAGTGGTGCTCCGTCTAGGGGCCAGTTCCAGCATGGTAGAGCCCGTTCTTTCAGGCCCACTCAGTCGGCCCGTCCAGAGTATCGCGGGGGATCTTTAGGTCATGGTTATCATGGTTCTCAGCAGGGTCAGCCTTCACTAAGTGCCCTCCTAGCTCAGAGTTCATCTCGTGCTCCATCAGTACAGGGTTCTTCCGTGGAAGGTCATTCTACTGGTCCTTCTAGTGCCAGAGGTTCCCTTCAGTCCCTACCTCCAGCACCGGGTAGTTGTTACAAGTTCGAAGAGTTTGGGCATATGAGGAGGCAGTGTCCTCGACTTCATGATGTTCAGTATCAGCAGAGGGGTCAGCCCTCGACTTTCGCTCTAGTTATTTCACCACCCGCCCAGCCAGCTAGGGGTGGAGGTCAGGCAGTCAGGGGTCGCCCCAGAGGGGGAGGTTGCTCAGGCGGTGGCCAGGCCCGTTTCTATGCTATTCCAGGCCGGACAGATGCCATTGCTTCAGATGTTGTCATCACAGGTATTGTCTCAATCTGCCACAGAGATGTTGTTGTAATATTTGATCCCGGTTCCACCTATTCTTATGTGTCCTCATATTTTTCTCATTATTTGGGTATGCCCCGGGAGTTTCTTTCTTTACATGTTCACGTATCTACCCCGATGGGCGATACTGTTATTGTGGACCGTGTGTACCAGTCATGTGTTGTGACTATTGGGGGTCTGGAGACCCGAGTTGATATATTGCTATTGAGCATGATGGACTATGACGTTATTTTGGGCATGGATTGGTTATCTCCGTGTCATGCTATTCTAGACTGTCATGCTAAGACAGTTACTTTGGCTATGCCGGGTGTACCGCGGATCGAGTGGCGTGGTGTGACTGATTATGTTCCTAGCAGAGTGATTTCTTTTTTGAAAGCCCAGAGTATGGTTGGGAAGGGTTGTCTGTCATATCTAGCTTTTGTGCGAGATGTTGGAGCTGAGACTCCTAGTATTGATTCTGTCCCAGTTGTGAGGGATTTCCCGATGTATTTCCTGCGGACCTGCCGGGCATGTCGCCGGACAGGGATATTGATTTTGGTATTGACCTGGTGTCGGGCACTCAGCCCATTTCCATTCCGCCATATCATATGGCACCAGCAGAATTGAAAGAGTTGAAAGAGCAGCTTCAGGAACTCCTAGATAAGGGGTTCATTCGGCCTAGTGTGTCACCTTGGGGTGCGCCAGTTTTATTTGTGAAAAAAAAAAGATGGCACAATGAAAATGTGCATTGATTAAATGCAATTGAATAAAGTAACAGTGAAGAACAAGTATCCTTTGCCTCGCATTGATGACTTATTTGATCAGCTTCAGGGAGCGAGTGTGTTCTCCAAGATTGATCTTCGCTCGGGCTATCACCAGTTGAAGATCAGGGATTTAGATATTCCTAAGACTGCTTTCAGGACTAGATATGGTCACTATGAGTTTCTTGTCATGTATTTCGGGCTGACCAATGCCCCAGCAGCATTCATGCATTTGATTAACAGTGTATTTCATCCTTATTTGGATTCATTCATCATTGTATTCATTGATGATATTCTGGTGTACTCGCGTAGTTAGGAGGAGCGCGCAGAGCATTTGCGTGTAGTGTTGCAAAAATTGAGGGAGGAGAAGCTTTATGCGAAGTTCTCCAAGTGTGAGTTCTGGCTCGGTTCAATGGCAATCTTGGGACATATAGTGTCCAGCGAGGGTATCCAGGTTGATCCAAAGAAGATAGAGGCGGTTCAGAGTTGGCCTAGACCATCCTCAGCCACAGAGATTCGTAGCTTTCTTGGGTTAGCAGGCTATTATCGCTGGTTTATTCAGGGATTTTCATCCATTGCATCGCCCTTGACCAAGTTGACTCAGAAGGGTGCACCATTTGTATGGTCGGACGAGTGTGAGGAGAGCTTTCAGAAGCTCAAGATAGCTTTGACCACAGCTTCAGTGTTGGTTTTGCCATCAACTTCAGGTTCATACACCGTATATTGTGATGCTTCGAGAGTTGGGATTGGCTGTGTATTGATGCAGGAGGGTAGAGTGATTGATTATGCTTCTCATCAGTTGAAACTCCATGAGAAGAACTACCCTGTTCATGATTTGGAGTTGGCTGCCATAGTTCATGCATTGAAAATTTGGAGGCACTATTTGTATAGCGTATCTTGTGAAGTATTCACGGATCATCACAGTCTTCAGCATTTGTTCGAGCAGAAGGATGTTAATTTGAGGCAGCGGAGATGGCTAGAGTTGCTTAAGGATTATGATATTACTATTCTGTATCTTCCGGGAAAGGCCAATGTAGTGGCCGATGCTTTGAGCCGAAAGACAGTAAGTATGGGGAGTTTGGCGTACATTCCAGTTGGGGAGAGACCCTTTGCAATTGATGTTCAGGCTTTGGCCAATCGGCTTGTGAGACTAGATATTTCGGAGCCCCATCGGGTATTGGCTTGCGTGGTTTCTCGGTCTTCCTTATATGATCGCATCAGAGAGCGCCAGTATGATGATTCGCACTTGCTTGTCCTTAAGGACAGAGTTCAGCATGATGATGCCAGAGATGTGATCATCGGTGATGATGGTGTGTTGCGGATGCAGGGCCGGATTTGTGTGCCCAATGTGGATGGGCTTAGAGAATTAATTCTGGAAGAGGCCCACAGCTCGCGGTATTTTATTCATCCGGGTGTCACGAAGATGTATCAAGATTTGAGGCAGCACTATTGGTGGAGAGNTCAGGTGGAGTTGAGCACAACGTTTCATCCTCAGACGGACGGACAGTCCGAGCGTACTATTCAGGTATTGGAGGACATGTTGCGTGCTTGTGTAATCGATTTTGGAGGTTCATGGGATGAGTTTTTGCCACTTGCAGAGTTTGCCTACAACAACAGCTACCAGTCGAGTATTCAGATGGCTCCGTATGAGGCGTTGTATGGGAGGCGGTGTAGATCTCCAGTTGGTTGGTTCGAGCCCGGCGAGGCTAGGCTACTGGGGACAGATTTGGTTTAGGATTCCTTAGAGAAGGTGAAGGTTATTCAGGAAAGGCTTCGTACAGCATAGTCGCGCCAGAAGAGTTATGCGAACCGAAAAGTTCGAGATGCATCCTACATGGTTGGTGAGAAGGTCTTGCTGAAGGTTTCGCCCATGAAGGGTGTTATGAGATTTGGAAAGAAAGGAAAGTTGAGTCCACGATTCATTGGACCTTTTGAGGTACTTAGGAGGATTGGGGAGGTGGCTTATATGATTGTTTTACCACCCAGCTTGTCGAGTGTGCATCCGGTATTTCATGTTTCTATGCTTCGGAAGTATGTTGGGGACCCGTCCCATGTTTTGAATTTCAGCACGGTTTAGTTGGATGATGATTTGACCTTTGATGTGGAGCCAGTGGCTATTTTGGGTCGTCAGGTTCGGAAATTGAGGTCAAAGGATATATCTTCGGTAAAAGTGCAGTGGAGAGGTCGGCCCATAGAGGAAGCTACCTGGGAGACCGAGCGAGAGATGCGGAGCAGATATCCTCACATGTTTGAGGCTTCAGGTATGTTTCTTGACTCGCTCGAGGATGAGCGTTTGTTTAAGTTGGGGAGGATGTGACCAGAGGCGTATCCAGGATTTGAAGAGAATGGGTGCACCGTTAAAGTTTTATAGACATTGGTATGATATAGGAACAACAAGTATAATTTTACAATGACAATAAGTTCATGAGCAAACTATAATTAATATTATAGTCACACAAAAAAAACATCATTCACTTTACAATTGTCCTCGACGAGTTTTCATACTTTGAAAACGGTTAATAATAACATCATTACTTACAGTCTTAAATATTCCACACTCTATAGAGCAAACTAAACAATTGTCNTAAATAATTGTTTAAAAAATCTTCATCCATTCTATTGCGTAGATCATTTTTGATGTACTTCATCGATGAGAATGCTCTTTCCACACTTGCGGTAGCAACAGGTATAATCAAAGTCAACTTCACAAGTAAATATACATGTGTCCAAGTCTGATCAACTTTTGTCTCAACCATAACTCTAGCAAGATCTTTAATTCCTTTCAAGTTAAGAAACTTGCTATCACACTTTTGAGCATAGACAATGAAGCTATCAAGTTGAAAACCAAGTTCCCGAAGCTTGTTTTCATCAAATTCACTTGGATAATACTTGGCCAGTTTCATTATCTTGTTCTTGTCAAAAATTTTAAATGAATCAACCGGACTCAAACTAGCCATACCAAGGAGTAAGTCACTAGTCACTACATCAAAACGGCTATTAAGCTCTTGAAGCTCCAAATCAATGACGGCATAAAATACTTCCATACGAAAGTGATGTAAATAGGAAACTTCGGATCTCTTACGTTTAGACTTTCCAATAACATAGTCTTCATCCATGTTGGGAATTGCAATGTCATGTTTAATACAAAATGAGCAAACCTCCTCCATCAAAGAGTCTCATTCCTCTTCTCTCATCTTTTGTAGTCTTTTCTTTGCAAGGTCAAGCATTCCCATAGAAATAACGATATCTTGATCTTTCTTTTGTAGAACTTTGTTCAATTCATTAGTCAACAACAACACCTTAAACATCAAGTTCAACATAAATACAAATGCAAATTCTTGAATCATGCTCAAAAGATTTTGTGCGGAAAATCTATCAAGATGATATAGACACTCATGTTTCATATCTTTAAGCACATTAACAATTGAAGAAAATAAAACTATGAAATTGTCCAAGGTCTTATAATGAGACCCCCAACGAGTATTACCCGGTCGTTGGAGGCCTCCTTCTTGATTCAAACCTTGTCCGGTAAGAACTTCTCCAACTTTAATCAACTCTTCCAATTTATCCAATTGATGTTGCCGAAGTGAATCCCTGCGCTTAAAAGAAGCTCCAATAGTATTCAAAACATTAGGGACAACATAAAAAAAATTATCCACATTCGAATGCTTTTTAGGAAGAGCTACAAGTGTTAGTTGCAATTGATGAGCAAAACAATGAATAGAATATGCAGATGGAGTATCTTTCAAAATCAAAGATTTGAGGCCATTTTTCCCCTTGCATATTACTAGCACCATCATAACCCTGTCCACGTATCTTGGATGGACTTAATGAATGTTTCAAAAGCAAAGAATAAATCTCTTTTTGTAATGGTTGGGAAGATGTGTCACTCACATGGAAAATACCCAAGAATCGCTCTATAATCATTCCACTTTTGTTGACATATCTCAAAATTAGAGCCATTTGCTCCTTATGTGAGATGTCTTTTGATTCATCAACTAATATTCCAAAAAAATCACCACCCAAGTCTTCGATAATAGCTTTAGTTGTTTCTTTAGCACAAGTTTCCACAATCTCCTTTTGAATTGTCGGACAAATCATCATATCATTTTGTGGAGCATGGCGTAATATTACTTTTTTCACATCCGGATGCATATCGCCATGCCATTCCAAAAGTTCAAGAAAAGGGCCTTTATATTCAGAATCTTCCCTTTCATCATGTCCACGAAATGGAAATCCCGATCTTAAGAGAAACCTTGCCACATCTATTGAGGCTTTTAAGCGCATACGATAATCACTTTTTACTTTTTCTCTTTGCTTGTCAAAAGAAGAAAGAATCGATTGACGTTGATTTTTCAAATCTTGCATCCTATTAAAACACTTATGATGGATATCGTTCACATCACCAACATGTGCCTTAAGTCTTTCCACGGCTTTGTTCCAACCTCTAAAACCGTCTTTTGTAAATGCATCTCCCCCATTACCACGACTTTCGAGTTCATTCTTGAATAAATAGCAACACAAACAAAATGCAGCATCCGCTTTAATGATATACTCCAACCATTGAGAATATGGTCCTTTGAACCAAGTGGGACAAAATTGACGCATTTTGTTCCCAAACTTAGTTTTAGGAAATACATGGCCTATCGGTTTACAAGGCCCCATTTGAATATAATATCTCCTCATTTCATCTCGAATATTAGGACCATAACTCGAAATAGGTAATCTTTCTTTGGGATCCACTTCAAGAGATTCCAAATTAAGCTCTAAATGTGGGGAAGGATGTGTTTCCCTTTGAATTTCCGGATTTATTTGTGAACTCGTAGATGGCCGACTAAAACTAGAACTTGGTTGGCCAAAATTTAGCTTGATGAGAAATTTATCCATTTCAATGTCAGGATTACCTTTCCTACAAAATCAAATTTTCACAATTCTACTCAAATTGAATCCAAAAAAATTATAAAAGTACAAATCAATCACAATCACAAAAATCACAAGTTCACAATTAGAAGAATTACAAGTTACAAGTAGTGGGCAACTATTTGGGAATAAGAAAGTTAATGTCATTTTTTAAGAAGTGCAGCAACAAGCCATCAATAGTTTCAGTACTTTTAAAACAAAAAATTCAAACAAATATGGATAGGGTAATATTGACAAGAATGACATTACTTTGAGAAGATAAAGAAGTGAAGAGGCAAAGAGAAATACCAATTTTAAAGAGCTGAAGACGAGATTTAAAGCTTGTCGATGCCGATTATAACACTTCTTCCCGTTCTTGACTGTCAAAATAAATTTTAAACATTCAAATAATCAATAATATTTCAACCCAACTTCAGTACTTCACAAATCAAAGAAAAAAGATAAAGAAACAAAAGAAGCAGTAAGATTGATCCAGAAATTGGAAAAATATGTGACCTTAGTTTGCAAAAAAATTGGTATTTTGCTGTTGTAAAAGACTTGGGGCTAGAGAGTGTTTTATGGAGAGGTGCTTTTGATTTAGGGATTTTGAAAAGTGACTAAAGAAGGAGTTGTGCACTACTATTAGGTAATAAAAAGAGGAAAAAAAGAAAGAATCGTCTCTGCTAAAGGAGCAGAAAACTTTACATGGTGGGCCAGGAGCATTTGATGTACCCAATCTATTAATTATTAAAAAGTGAAATAATGGATAATTTTAAAAGAGGAAATGTGGGGAATCGAACTACTGATCTGGTAAATGGAAGGTGCACTCCTCTACCAGTACACTACAATGCTCACTTGAGGGTGGGTTCACCCATACAAATTTAAGTATTTTATGTTGAAATTTACTGTTGCTATACACAGTTTAGGGAGAGGGGGATGGGTTCACGTGACCCACCCTTTCCCAAGTAAATTCTCCCCTGGATGTGACGACCCGGCCCATCGTCTCATGAGTTACCGCCCTGTTTTCCCTATTTTCTATTTCTTCATGCTTCGTTATCCGTATCTTGTGTGATCGAGTTGATTTGGAGTGGTTTTGGTAGGAAATGAGACACTTAGCCTCTTTTAAGACGGCTTAAGTTGGAAAAGTCAACCGGACGTTGACTTATGAGTTAGAGGGCTCAGATGTGAATTCCGATGGTTTGGTTATCTCCGGGAGGTGATTTTTGACTTAGGAGTGTGATAGGAAGTGGTTTTGGAGGTCCGGTGTAGAATTTGGCTTGAATTGGCGAAGTTAGTATTTTGGCAATTTCCGGTTGATAGGCGAGATTTTGATCCGGGAGTCAGAATGGAATTCTGAGAGTTGTTGTAGCTTCGTTAGGTAATTTGGGATATGTGTGCAAAATTTCAAGTCATTCGTACGTGGTTTGGTTGGGTTTTTGATCGAATGTGTGTTTTGGAAGTTTTAGAAGAACTTAGGCTTGAATTCGATGTAATTTGATGGTTTTGGTGTTAATTGAGGTATTTTGATGATTGGAACAAGTTTGGATGATGTTTTAGGATGTGTTGGTGCTTTAGGTTGAGGTTCCAGTGGCCTCGGGTGAGTTTCGGGTGGTTAAACGGATTATTTCATCTTTGGAAAAGTTGCAGATTTTTGTATAGCTTCAGCTGTGCACCAGAAAATTTCCGGTGCGAGTAGTCCAGTTTGGAAGCTCATATCTTGAAATATTTAAGGAATAAGAAAAAGTGTAAAACATAAAAGTTGTATCTCTTGCATTCTAGTTTCCATAAAGTTAAACCATTCATGATTTGAATATTCTATCAGAAAGTTATGATGAATCGAATATGGCTGGTGGATCAGTTTTGACAAAATTTTCTAATGCACTTTAGAAGCTCATATCTCGGAATATATAAAGAGTTATATGGTGTACAACCTATCAAATGAAATATCTTCGAGTCTAGATTTTAAATATTCAAACCGTTTGTCATTTGGATATTTCCACAAGGCGTTAGAGGCGTTTTAACAGAAGGTGTACAACAGGGAAAATGGTAAGAGGATGTACAACCTGCACAGCACAAGGTACACCTCGATGAAGCATGGGCAGAATGTTTTTAAGTCCTCTTGTCCGCAATTTGGGTCCATTTTTCAGCCATAGTTGATCATTTTGAGAGCTTTTTGAAGGAGATTGAAGAGGGATTCAAGGAGAAACGTTTGGAGGTAAGAATTTCGGACCTAAAACTCATTTATATTGTGAAATCCACCTAGAAAATCATTGAATTCTTGCTAAAAATGGAAATAATAGGGCTTGGGATTTGGAGGACCATTTGGGGTCGGATTTGAGAACTTTTGGAATGTATGAACTCGTGGGGAGATAAGGAACCCGTTGATGTAAAAAATTTTGAATTTCGAGAAGTGGGCCCGGGGCTCGGGTTTTGCCAATTTCGAGAATTTTGATATTTTTTGATTGTTTTCGATTGGGTATTGTTTATTTAGCATAATGTGACATGTTCGTTGTGATTTTGGTCAGNTGCACACCCCTAGTGAGCGTAGTTGACTATTATTATTATGGATCGGGCTGTGCGCCACAGCGATATACGAATCAGGTTGTACGCCGCAGCGGTATATATATATGTTTTGATATTGGTTATTGTGAGAAGTATATGAATTGAGTATTANGAGCTAGAGCTTTGGCCAATTTGAGGTGAGTAATGATTTTAAATGATGTCCTGAGGGTTTGAAACCCCATATTTTGCACAACGTAGTGCTATACTGAGATGNTGCCTGTCAAATTACCTGTTTTCACCTGGTTCAAAGAGTTTCATTCAATTTTCTTTACTACTTGTTCTTTAAATGGTTTTACTGCTTTGATATAGAACTGCTTAGTACCTTTACGTGATTTCATACCATTAANACATTTTGACTGAGACTTATGCATTGTCATCCTGACTTGGGCTAGTTGCCATGTTTGGGGCCTTGTGCCGACCTGTATAACCCTTATGGGATTTTTGGCTGGTTTTCCTTACTTATTTGCTAAAAATCATATCCTCGGTCATCTTTCTAATTGTTTAAAAATGATATGAACCGGGTTATGAAATGTTAACCATAACTGAGAGAAATATGTGGGCTGAGATGNTTCCACATATTTCAATCTTTTATTTCAGACTTCTACTTATATTAAATTGGTATCTATTTCTGAATATTGGTAATGAATTCTAATAAGAAGGTATTGTGAGTGGTAATTGGTCGGGCTTGCCTAGCATCGTGTTGGGTGCCATCACGACCGGGATTGGGGTCGTGACAGAACCTCAGCACTAGAATCACGAACATATGACAAATAGGCCAAACACCCCTTCTCGACCATACGTCGAGCCTTCACATAAGAGATAACACTATGGGTAGAATGACCAGGAGTCCCTCTCCACTCTAAACGAGGCGAACCCGGTAAAGCTAAGGTCACAGTCTTGGCATGACAGTCCAAGATAGTGTGGTAAGGTGATAACCAGTCCATCCCAAACATAACATCGAAGACGACCATGTCCAGGAGCAACAAATCTACTCGAGTCTCAAGACCCCCAATCACAACTATACAAGAGCGATGGACTCGATTTACCACAATAGAATCACCCACCGGTGTAGACACGTAAATAGGAACACTCAATGAATCACTAGGCATGACCAGATATGGTGCAAAATAAGATGACACGTATGAGTATGTAGACCCTACATCAAATAATACCGAAGCATCTCTATCACAAACCAGAACAATACTTGTGATAACTGCATCTGAAGCCTCAGCCTCGGGCTTGGCTGGAAGAGCATACGGGGCTGGGGCCCACCACACTAGACTACTTCTCTAGGACGGCCTGCAGCTGGCTGGCCTCCACCTCTAGCGGTCGGAGCTCCACCTCTAGCACCTCTACCTCCATCTCTAGCACCTCTACCCCCACCTCTAGTTGGCTGGGCAGTCTGTGGAACACCTGGTGCCTGAACCATAGCACGGGAACCCTGCTGCTGTGACTGAGTACCCACCAATCTCAGACAAGCCCTCCTGATATGACCATACTCACCACACTTATAGCATCCACCTGAGTTCTGCGGCTGAGGAAACTAAGACTAACCCTGGTGACCTGAATGACCACCCCAAAAACTCGGGAGCGGCAGTGCACTGATAGAAGCTGGTGGTGCACTGTAGGGCTGCTGATCAGAATACTGCATGTGAGAACCACGGCCACCTGAAGCACCATGAGAAACCTGAAGTGCTGACTGAAAGGGCCTAGGAGGATGGCCTCTACCATACGAATCCCTGCCTCCAGATGAGGCACCACTAAATCTGCCTCAATGACGAGGCCTCTTGTCTGACCCATGACCACCTCCCTACAAGAGAACCATCTCCACTCTCCTGGCCACATTGGCCACCTCCTGGAAAGTGATCTCACTGCCAGCCTCCCTAGCCATCTGAAGACGAATCGGCTGAATAAGACCGTCAATAAACCTCCTCACCCGCTCTCTCTCGGTAGGAAGTATGACAAAAGCATAACGAGCCAAGTCGATGAATCTAGTCTCATACTGGGTAACAGTCATGGAACCCTACTGGAGATGCTCAAGCTGCCTCCGATAGGCCTCTCTCTAAGTGATGGGGAGAAACTTCTCCAGAAATAGTTGTGCAAACTGCTCCCAAGTCAAGGCTGGCGATCCGGCTGTTCTAGCCAAGCAATAATCTCTCCACCAAGTCTTGGCTGATCCAGACAAGCGAAAAGTGGCAAAATCGACCCCATTGGTCTCGACTATCCCAATGTTACTGAGAACCTCGTGACAACTGTCTAAATAATCCTGGGGATCCTTAGTAGATGCACCGTTAAAAGTAGTAGTAAAGAGCTTGGTGAACCCATCCAGCCTCCACAAAGCATCGGCAGACATAGTTGCTCTATCACCGGTCTGAGCTACCACACCCGGCTGAACTGCTCCAACTGGCTGAACCACTGGAGTCTGAATCTGGGGAGCTACCTGCTCCGGAGTGCGAGTAGCAGGAGTCTGGGCTCCTCCTCTAGCCTGAGAGACGGTTGGTGCTATAGGAAGCAAGCCTGTCCGGGTAACACTCTTCATAAGGCCCACTAGATGGACCAGAGCATCCTGAAGAACTGGGGTGGCAATAAACCCCTTTGGGACCTGAGCTGGGCCCACTGGAACTGCTGGGGCCGGAACCTTGTCATCAAAGTCAACCTGAGGCTCTGCCACTGGTGTTGCTGCTCGGGGCTGAGCTCTGCCCCTACCTAGGCCTCTAGCACGTCCTCGGCCTCGCCCTCTGCCCCTCGTGGGAGCTGCTGTTGGGGGCTCGGGCTACTGAACGGCGGATGAGGAAGCGCGTGTTCTCGCCATCTGTGAAAGAACAGAGTAGAAGTTCAATTAGCATTGAGAAACCAAACCACATGATAAAAAGAACTAATATGAAGTTTTTCCTAACTCTGTAGCATCTGGAAGATAAATACAGACATCTCCGTACCGATCCCTCAGACTCTACTAAGCTTGTCCGTGAATTGTGAGACCTATGTAACCTAGAGCTCTGATAGAAACTTGTCACGACCCGGATTTTCCACCCTCGGGGGTCATGATGGCGCCTACTCGTAGAAG